TTTTTTTTTTTTTATATTATAGTGTTTGGACCCCGTAAGAGGTATTAACACTTACTTTATTGAAAATATAATTTTTACATTTTTTGTTACAAATTTAGAAATACATTACAGAGTAATTGTGATTTAATTGATATGGTGATTATACTGCGAGATCGCATTTCTTAAAAAAATTACAAATACTTAAACACGCTGGAATATTTGGAGACGCTATTAAACTTTCGACATTGAAAGGTGGATACATATTTATTTTTTGAAGATCATTATATAGGTTTGCTCGTTGTACATTATATAGATCGCAATTCCATAAAACGTGATTAAGGCTCTCTTCCTCATATCCGCATTTACATTTTGGATCGATTATTAAGTTTTTCCGATAGAGAGATTCCGCTAAGCTGTGGTGATTTGAGCGCATTCTGTTTATCGTGACTATGACCGAGCGTGTCAGACTCTTATTGTGAAACCATGGGATTTTTTTATTATTATTGTATAGTAAGAAATAAATTTTGCCTTTATGAGTGCTATCAACTTTCGTCTGTAAAAAAGAGTTATTATAAGAATCAGATTTTAATTTTTCGAATAGATCAGGAAATAAGATTTGGGGCTCAGAGGGAGCAGCGGATGTAGTAGCAGTTTTTGCAATAGAGTCGACATATTCATTTCCCTGTAATCCCATGTGGGATGGAGTCCAAGTTAATTTTATATGGTTGTTGGAGTTATTATGTATGTATTGTAAACATTTACTTTTAATATCGAGAATAAATTTATTTATTGAGATCTTTGTTTTGATAGAGTTCAAGCTTTTTATAGCACTGAGAGAGTCACTAAAAATTATATAATTATTATTTTTATGAACTAGTATGTAGTCTAGGGCTTGATTTATTGCAGCGCACTCTGCTGAAAAGATGGAAGACATTTTGTTTAGACATTGAGAGTTTTGAAATTTTGTAAGTGGGCAGTAGCAAGCAGAGCCGACACTAGGAGCATCTTTTACTTTGCTGCCATCGGTGAAAAGAGCTATACTGTTGTTTGCGTTAATATAATTTAGTAGTGTTTCGTCGGGGGATGATGATGATTTTAATATCGCGCCAAAGTCAGTATCTATTGGGAGAGTTGAGAAAACTGTAGTGAAGTCATAGCAGTAGGTGTTGAAGTTATGATTAGAGTGAAGTGCCATATTAGAGCTTAGAAGAGAGTTAATGCATTCGAAAGATAGCCTGTTTATTTTAGAATTGTTTTTATGAATATTGTAAAATTGTGAAATTATAGTGGAAGATTCAGAGTTAAAATTGCTGAAGGTTTTGACAAGAAAACAAAGACACAAGAATTTGGTTCGCTCTTCAATTGATACTGACTTGGACTCAGCGAGAAGTATATTTGTTGGAGTGCTATTTCGAAATCCTAAGGCGTATCTGATTGCGGCATATTGAATCTTTTCTAATTTTTTTTTTGTGACCGAGTTCTTGGGGTAGTATACGAAACAGCCGTAGTCTATACGAGAGCGTATAAAGCTCTTGTAAAGGCCCATGAGAGTACTTGGGTGAGATCCCCACCAGGTGCCACGGAGAAACCTGATGATGTTCATGTTTGACATGCATTTTTGATGGACGTATTTTACGTGAGCATTAAAAGAGAGTTGGTAATCAAAAATTATACCCAGAAATTTGACGTTATCACTAGAAATTATCTGTTGGCCTTTTATACAGATTTTGGATTGGCCTGGGGTAATTTTTTTTCTGTTAAAATGCATGAATTTTGATTTAGGTAGACAGATGCTGAGTCCAATATTTGTAAAATTTAAATCTATAGTTAGGATGGGGTTTTCTATGATAGAGGTGTCAAAGCTATGAGGATCAGTTTTTATTGCTACTGCAAGATCATCTGCAAACTGTGATACATACAAATTATTAGGTAAGTTTTGGATTACTGAAGCGACGTATAGTGAGTAAAGGAGTGGGCTTAACACTGCGCCTTGAGGGACACCTTTATGCAAGGTTCTGTAGTTATGTTTTTTGTCATCAGAAAATATGAATCTTTCATGGGTGATGAACTTTATGAACTTGATAATCTTGTAATCCAAATAATTATTACTTATTATATAACAGCCATTTAATCAATTATAAACCAGCCGCAACTAATCTTATTATAAATAGATAATAAAAATTTGACTTGTTCTGTGCTATTTGCGGCAAGTTTATAATCTATTTTTAACCCAAAAGTCTACCTCCAAAAATATAGATATTCACATGGTTTAATAAAATCGACCATATGGCATTACTTAGTAGTAATTACTATAATTACTACGCATAACTTCACGTACATCTTACACCGTGCTCTCTTTACGAGAATGATAAAATCAGAGGCTGTAAAGTTACGTAGGTCGTGGTGGTAACGCCGCTGTTGGCAAGTTGGCATGTTGTCAATTGACATCGCAGTGCGTCAGTATAGGTTCGTTCAAATTCAAACTCCGGTTCTCTTAACAAAATATACCTATACATATATATATATTAACACCTGCTGGTACTCCAGGCTGGTAGGCAAGGATTAGTCATTAGTCTAGGGTAGTTGATTCTGGTACAGACGGTACAGTACACAAAGTCTTGCTGTGTGTGCACACAGTGCACCGGTAGATGATATTTTTTGTGAAGACAATCCCTTTTCTTATAAGCTTCTTCTTCATTGCTATGAAATGACAAGATCAGATGGCTGACAGGTTTTCTCGTCCTCGTCGTCATTGACACCGCGCGTTGGACTTCCTCCCTCGTCTACTTGAGTACTTAGTCGTTGAATTTGGGAAATTCAGTCTCCAGCCCTTATTCTTTCTTCTTGGTCTTAGGTGAAGCTTCGCTCATCTTTATCCAGCCATCAAGTAAGTCGTGCAACAAATACCTTACCACTTGGGCGTGCACGCGCAAAAAGTATTTAACAATTTAATTTACTCAAAAAAATCAAGTCATTATTGACTGATAGCATTCGAGGGAGTTCGTTCTTGTTACGCGCATTAAACTTCACTTTTCTGAAAATTTTCTTTGTCTCTTTTGCATTTCGCACGTACCGTGACCTGTCAAAGTCAAACAGTTAAATATCCACCAGCAGTGTACGTTACGTGGAACACACGTGCGATTAATGTGCTCACAATACTTTATTTATCGAGAGAAAGCACTTTCCTAGTAACACACGTGTTTATACGTAGATGCTGAAGTAACACTTCATAAGATGATAAGGTACCAATAAACAATCGTGTACATAACATTCCAAGAACGAGTCTATGATACTTTGATAGTGCGCGTGTGTTTATGGTATTAAGAAAATAAGAACTTGAGGATTGTGAGAATCTGGGAAATGTTTACATTTTCAGTTGTTTCTTAATTTTGAAAACTTCTACCATTACCTACTTATGATATTTACTTTTTTATGGAAATCAAGAAATGACTTCTAATAAAATTTGTTTTTAATCACATTTTTACTTTCACAATCCAAGTGTCACTTATCAAAAAATTAATATGAAAATGTAGTACGTACACATGCCAGTCATGTTTTTTGTGGTTGAACCTAAGCGCCTGCTACCTACATCATCATAGTTATCCTGTTCTTTTGTAAATGTTAACGTATGACATGTGAAATAACTGATTTTGCTCTCTGCTAGTACTTGAACCAAAATAAAGCAAAGAAAACCTGCAAACCAATGAAATTTATCATTACATATTCAGCCATATGTTGTATTGTATCTTACAGGCACCATGAGTAGCAGACAGCAAACCCACATACCTTTGAATGAAATTTGCACCAGGCCACAGGGGAGAACTACTAAAAAAGGTGAGTTACGGTAAAATGTTGAAAAATGGTTCATAATTTTTACAAAAGTTGGTATTTTTTTCAACGCTGACGATGTTGTTTGTGTTGGTGTCATAGAATCACTTGTAATGCAATATTCAATTGTGTCATTTTTGTAGGTCAATATGGAGAACATGTTACCTTACAAGCAAATTATTTCAAACTTACAAGTCATCCAGATTGGACTTTGAATCAGTACCGTGTGGACATAGCGCCCGAAGAAGATCGCACCTCTGTCAAAAAAGCATATCTTAGACTTCATAAGGATGTTTTGGGAGCCTACATTTTTGATGGCACTATGTTGTACACATGCCATGCTCTTACTCAGGTGAGAGTGCTGGACCTGTTTAAAAAAAAAACTTTGTTTGACGTAACTTTTTTCGTCGTTTTCATGCTGATGAATTTTTTAAATTTTATTTATCATTACAAGATGAAATATAAGAGTTACACAAATTTAGTTTCCAATCGTTAACTACCATTTTGTGCCGGTATAAAAATATAAAATCTTTCGTGTATAACGTAACTTTTCGCTGCCAAGATTAGCTGGTCTCTATCGACTCAATTTTTTTCTCTTTGGTGTAAATATAAGTAAAAACGAATTAAATGGCGGTACACCGATGCTGAACGCTACTTTTTTAAAAATTGGTAGTGACTTCACCAAATAACTGGTCAGGTGTTGGCACCCCTGGAGATCGCAAAACTATCTAGAAAAATTCATTTTTTGTCTTGAAATATCGGATAAGTATTTTTTAGTCATCTTGGGTACTGGTCCTATGGAAAATGCCCGGGAAAAAAATCTCGATATTTTTCGATGGAATTATAACCCACGACCCTTCCAGTTTCTTGAGCTATAGGAGGCAAGCGTGCTAATCACTAAACCAGCATAGCTCTTGTGAAAAAGTATTAATCTTTAATATTTCCCTGAACACTTAAAGTACAGCTGACCATTTTTTACATTGACACGAATGTGAAAAAAAAAAAGAAGATTCAATTTCTCCAAAATTCATCACATTCTTTGAAGTACCAAAATATTTAATGAACCGATGAAAATCACCAGATATCTTGAATTTATATTACGATCTCGTACTGTTGAAAAAGCACGTGTTAAGTTCAAATTTGCACTGTACTTTTAGCCTCTTGAGCTGAATTCCATCCGAGAATCGGACCAACGAGCAATAAGCATTAAAATCAGGCTGGCTGCAACAGTGGTAAGGGGGGATTACCATTATTTCCAAGTGTTCAACATCATAATGAGAAAATGCCTAGAACACTTGCAATTGGCTCTGGTTGGGAGGAATTTTTACGATCCAGAGAGAGGCGTAAGTTCAATGTTCGTTCACGTATGGACTTTTGTATTGAACTTTGAAAAGTGTGTTTACACGTTCAATGCTGTGTAGGTCACGATTCAACAGCATGGGCTCAAAGTTTGGCCGGGCTACATAACATCAATCAGGCAACACGAAGCTGGTATCATGATGTGCGTGGAAATATCCCACAAAGTTATGCGGACTGACACTGTGTACGACACCTTGATGAAGTGTTATGAAAAAGACTCCAAAAATTACAAGGTACACATTTTTATCTGGTCTGTAGTTTATTCAATAGACACCTTTTACTTACATTATCAGTGTAACTTGTATGTACAACCAGTTCTTACTCAACTTGCGTTACAATAACTCAGAACTAATGTACATTCGGGGTCATTCCTGTATTCTTTAGTAAACAACAAAATAACTAACGAAAAATGTTATTTTCCGTTACAGGATTTGTTTAAAAAGTCCGTGCTTGGACTTGTTGTGATTACTCACTACAATAACCGAACTTACAAAGTCGACGACGTCGACTTCAGTACCAGTCCCTTGAGCACGTTTCAAAAACGCGATAGTTCTGCCATTAGCTATGGCGATTATTACCGAGACAAGCACAAGGTGACAATCAAGGATTCGAAACAGCCGCTGCTTGTGTCGAAAGCCACTGCCCGCGATCGCAGAGCAGGAGTTTCCGAACTGGTTTACTTGATTCCCGAGTTATGCTATAGTACTGGTATGTGCTGCATTTGCCAAGCAGTGCTTAAAAAAAATTCGCTCAACTATTTTTCTGTTCGTTTATTTCAGGTATCACCGATGCCATGCGACAAGATATGAATTTGATGAAGGCGCTCACTGACAAGACTAGGATAAATCCTAGTGATAGAATCAATAAACTGTTGGATTTTCACACAAGGCTGAATTCAAAATCTGACATTAAAGTGGACTTTGCTAACTGGGATCTAGAAATTGACGACAAGCTGATCGAGATTCCTGCCCGAGTTTTCCCACGGCAAAAAATTGGATTTGGCAATAATGTGACTGTAGAAACGAGGAACGCGGAATGGGATCTTCATAAGGTTCCAAAGCAGTTGATGAGCGTAGGACAGTTAACGGACTGGACTGTCATTTATCCAGCCTATAAAAAACAAGAGATGCAGGTACACATTTCACACTGTATTTTTTAATGTACATTGGTATTGAAAAAATGATTGTACGTAACTTGCTGCTTACAGGAATTCATCCAAGCAACTATGAGCGTAGCTGGAAAAATGGGATTCAGCATAAAAAGACCGAGTATAATATCGGTCGTAGACGACAGGCCCGATACATATTCCAATATCATCTCGGAACTTACCAACCGGAGTGTACCGCAAACCGTCCTCTGTGTTGTACCGAATAACCAACAGCAGCGTTACATGGCTATTAAAAAGAAATTGTGCATCGAAAGACCTATCCCGAGTCAAGTGATTCTTGCCAAGACGCTCACCCACAGAAATGTGGGCTCCATTGCTTGCAAGGTCGCTGTACAATTGAATTGCAAGTTGGGTGGGAGTCCATGGAGCATCGACCTAACGAGTGTCGTCAAAGGCTTGATGGTAGTTGGGTTTGATGTTTGCCACGAAAAGTCGTCCGATGGTACAGATTTTGGTAAGTTCATCGCTTAAAAGTCTTATTTTTTTCTCAATTCATTTAGCTGACGTCGCGGTATTCATTAGTTGTTACGTTACTTCATTTTTGAAAAATGTGCGTGATTTTTTTTAGGAGCCATGGTTTCATCCTTGGACCAAAAGTTTGGTCGGTATTACTCAGCTGTGACGCAGCACAAGTCGGGAGAGGAGCTTTCTGACTGTATATTGAAACATCTCGATTGTTCAATCAGAGAGTTCCATAAGGCGAACACCAACAGGCTACCAAACTATATAATTATTTATCGCGACGGCGTGGGCGAGGGCCAAATTCCTTTCGTGTATGATTACGAAGTGAGACAGATAAAGAGAAAACTTGAAGAGCTCTACGCCAATGAATCGATCAATCCTAAGAGGATAAAACTCAAGTTTTCCTTCATCATCGTTACGAAGAGAATCAATACTAGGCTCTTTTTCAGAAGAAACAACCCGGTTCCTGGCACCGTCGTCGACGATGTCATCACAGATCCCTTGAAGTATGATTTTTTCATTGTATCGCAGAATGTAAAGCAAGGCACTGTATCGCCGACAGCTTACAACGTGATCGAGGACAGCACAGGCTTGAGTCCTGATCACTTGCAATTCATAACTTATAAGCTTTGCCACATGTACTTTAACTTTAACGGTACCGTGAGGGTGCCCGCGCCTTGCCAGTACGCGCACAAGCTGGCTCTGTTTATCTCTCAGACGCTGCGACAGCCCGCGCATACAAACCTTCAGAGCCTTCTATATTTTCTGTGAATATGGTTTTGATTGATTTATAGTATATTATTTTTATTACCTTTTGGTGATGTTGATAAAAAAAGTTTTTCTGTTTAACAAAAGGTGGATTCGTTGTTTAGCCTTATCTTTATAATTTCCTAGCTGTTCATTTAGATCAAATTTAGAGGCTTAAATTTGATTTTTTTGAGCTTGTTTGTAAGTTCTTTAGTGGCTTATTCTTTTTCTTCTTTTTCTAATAATTTTTATTCCTTAGGTGTCTTTAAAATTGGAATTGGTCTTATTACATCAGCATCTAATACGATGGAATCATGATTGTATTTTAAAGTAGCCCCTTGGTCTTTAAAAAAATTTTTGACCCAGTAGTCCTCCATTTGTAGGCTTTTTTTTTTAATTGTTTTAATTATGGTGCCTTTCGTTAAAACGGGGTAAAGCATTTTCGTTAAACTTACAATGTTATTAAACTCTACAAGACGTTCTTCATCTAATTAGCTTGTTTGTATTAATTTGCCGAGGCTCCATGATCAAGCATAAAAGTTACGTACTGATCTTAACTTTCACGGACGCGTAATTTTACACTCGTTGGCTCATCATTTACTCTAAGTCCTTGACATGTGCCGATGTGAGCGGTTTCAATTTTTTTGTAGTATTTATTTATGAAGCCGTAAGACTTGATGTTTTGTTCCGATTGTAACGCTGGGGGCTCACCTCCGAAAAACGTTGGTGGTGAGCCGCCTGCGAATTCAATTGGAGCGAATAATAATCTTTTCGCTGTTGATAATCCTAAAAATGTTGTCTCTGATTTATTATGAACGAAAAATGAGCCTTATTTGATATTGTTTAGATGGTACATTACGTCACTAGGGCACACAGTATTCCCCGAAGATGATTTTATTTTTAAGAAAGGGGTGGTTGTTGTATATTGGAGCCCGAGTCGCGTATAATGTTTTTTTTACCAAAGGCGCAAAGTGCAATTTTGTAACCGTGGGCATATTTTTTCTCCAGTAAATCACTTAGGGCCGTATGGCAGAAAAGTACTTCGGGTATGGAGGGTGCCAAAAACTTTTCTGCCCTTAGGCCCAAAGTAATTACGAGGACGCAAAGTATGGTCTGAGGGTGCAAAGTGGCAGTTGCACTTTGCGCCCATGGAAAGAAGCAGTTAATTATTATACTCATCTTGTTGATAATGTCGCTAGAAATCAATGCAAAGTTTTCCTTGATACGGAGTATCTGGAATTATTCCCACTCTTATTTGGTTCTTACATCTCAATATGTAATCGGTGGCATTTGATAGGGTCGGCGGTTCTGTTGCATCTACCTGCTGGCTTATCATAGGTGGTGATTTTTTTACAAACATGTCTTACGTTATGTTTTCTATTCAGGTCATTATATTGTTGTGCGTATTGCGCTTATCTTCTATCAGAGCCTTTTCAGCACTGCTTATCAGTAGGTTTACATACTAGTAATATTCACCTGCTAATTAGCCTTATCGTTGAAACACTTCCTGCAGCTAAGTTTAATAATAAGCAACAGTTTCTCCTTTTGCATACTTTTTTTAAGTGTGTTATAAACGCTTCAAGGTTTCACAGTCCTGGCTGCTTACGCTTATTCGTGTGGTGCCTCGAAGGTTATGCAATACTACTTTCTTACGCAACTCTTTTTGATCATCTCTGACCCAACTTTCTCAATTCCAACATCTTGAATGTTGTCTTTGATCGGAATATTCCCACAAAATATGTAAATAGGTCTAATCTTCTATTAAATTTAATCATAGATTTAAAAAATATGTTGTTTGTTGAATTTTTATTTTACTGTGTTTATTTGCTTTAGAAGAATTTTTTTGTAGATATTGACATGCGCCATAAAAGATAAAGGGAATAAAAAAATACTTAGATAAATATACACATCTG